GCTGAACCAAGGATCTCTAAGTCTTTCTCGGCACTAACCAAGTTACAACCCTGACTCTCTGTCGTACCCTGAGATGTGCTAACAGCTACAACAAGCAACAGGAGGGTGCCTCTTGTACAGCACGGTGTCCGCATCTGTGAGGGGCTTGGGGCAGGACGTGCGGTTGCATCTCGCTGATGGGTTTCACAGTTCTGCATGGCCGTCTGCTGCTTGCTGGCTCTGTCCTGTCTGGCTCCCGGTGCGCTCCTGCTGCTTTGTCTGCTCCAGCCAGCTTGGCTCTCTCCTGGCTTCCAAAGGAAAGCCTTGGCCTGGGGCCCAGCCAGAGCTGCCTGTTGCACCCTGGTCCCCAAGTGTCGAAGCTGCCGGCACAGGCACTGCTGGCAGTCAGCCCGGCGGGTCCCTGGCCCCAGCGTTAGGGAAAGGCATGTGGCCGAGTGACCTGACTGATCGTGCCGTCTCCCTCTCTCTCTGCCCCAGATCGGCGGACCATTCTCTGCCCGGATCTTCCGTTTCCACAGACTTTGGCAGCTGGCAGATGGTGACAGGGTGTGGCAGTATTCGGGAGCAGGCAATCCTGAGCACAGACGCCTCTCTCCCTTGCAGCTTCCCGGATGAGTTCCCTAGCACTTGCCTGTAAGTGTCTCAAACGCAGGATCTTTCCTTGGGTCTCTCAGCTGGCTGTGAGCGCTGGAACTTTGTCACCCTGGCGCTTTCAAAGAAGCCTGGGAGCCCATAACAAACTGTCCCATCTTCCCTGTCTTGATGCTTTACATCCACAAGTTCAGTCACTGAACTTTGCTTATGCTGAACTCAGAAAGAAAATGATATTTTCTCTGCCTAATGACAAGGGGGCACTTTTGCTTTCTGTAGGAAGAAGAGGCTTTTCTCTCTTCCCTGACAAGACTGAATTTGGGCATAATGGAGTGCATTTGAGGATGCATGCTTGTCGGGACAGGACTGGTAACCCAGATTTTCTTGCTTTTGGATCTTGCTCATCTTCGTCTCCCTGCTGGGGTCAGATCCTTGCTGCAGTAAGAGAGGGGCTTTCCTTCTGTAACCCCGATTTTGTCTGACCACGTGCAGCATCATTTGCAGATGCTGCATCTGGACAGTGCAGAGCAGCAGAGACCCTGATCCTGCCACATCCTGCTGTGTAAAACGGCTGGGAGGCAAATGTTCCTCCCCAGATAGAAAGCCACCTCTGTGGAAGCTTGAAAGATGGGAGATGTGCTTTAACTGCTGTTAGAGGAGAACCTTGGCTTGTGCCTTCAGGCTGCAGACTCTCGATCAGGAAACTGAAATGGCAGATCAGGGGCTGCCGCTAGCTAACTGTGCTGCCAGGCACTTGCATCCCGTACCGAGATCCGAGTATGTGCTTTGGAGGCAGAGGGCAACCGATGTGAAAGCCAACAACTCCTGTGAGACGGGCTGGCTGCCCTGGCTCACCTTTGCATGCAGCTGTGTGCTGTGCTGCTGAGCAGAGCAGCTGCCTCCAAGTTACAGTGAAGCTACAAGACCCGTGAATTGGCAGATCAAAGAATCACGAGAGGTGCTGGACATGGCCTGGTCAGGATTTACTCTTCTCCTTTCATGAAGACATGTTGAGCTGCTCCTGCAGTCACTCAGAGACGGGTGAGAGAACAGGAGGGACTGAAGGATGGGTGTCTGGATTAGTGACTGCTTTACTGTACCCTGAACCTGGCTGTGCCTGGTGGCTGCTGATCACCAGTGAGTTGTTGCTGGCCTTGGAGTTGGATCTAACATCAGAATAGGGAATTCAGTAGAGAGAAATGTGATTTGAAGTTGTGCTCTGCATCCGTCGGCTCACGCGGTTTGGAGTCTGGCTGCTCGGGACAGCCGGGTTCGAAGGGAGGGGAACGGTGGTGGTGATTCTCCCTCGGGTGCACAGCAGATGCCGCGAGTGCTTTGCCATGTTCAGCTCTTCGCTGGAGCTGTGGGGTGCTGAGGGGCTCGGGACCCCTCGACTGTGGGTGCCGGGACCAGGCACGGTTTGGAGGGGAAGAAAAGTTCCCAAGGATGTTGAGCTGAGCTTGACCCAGAGCCTCCACTCTCTCTCTGCTCTGTATCAGCTTTTTTTGCCCAGGAGCCCATTGTGGGTTTATCCCAGTTTTTCACAGCCCAGCACAGTACGAGTTTTTGGAAAATTTAATTCCATTTAAGTTCCTATTTTACATCTCAGCTGGCAGCAACTCGAGGAAGGTACGCGTTTCACAGCCTACTTCTTGTGCTTGTGTGGGGCTTGTCAGGGCTTACTTTGAGCTGGGGCTTTGACAGCCTCCTCTCATCCTGCACCCCGAGCTGCCGACGAGCGGGCAGGCTGTAGGAAGTGTAGCGGGGCAGAGAGCCGGGGAGTTGGCAGGGAAGCCTGACCCGCCTCCCTCCCGGGTTGAACTGCTCAGGGTGAAGCAGTGGGGCCAGTCTGCAGGGCTCGGTGTTGGGCAGTGGCTTGCTGCTTCACCCTGTGCCTCGGGGTGTCCCGCTCCATGAAGGAAACCTAAAAATCTAAATACAAAATCTGTCCTGGAAAGAGGTGTGAGAGCCAGAAGACACGGGGCCTAACTGCTGCACGCCCTCGCTTACCTCTGCGTGTGACGTTTAACATCACCCTGCTCGGGTGCAAGTCAGTCCTGCTTTCATGTAGCTTATTTTTAATGCTAGCAGGTTTGCAAGTTCCACGTCCTAATTAGGTTGCCAAAAAAGCATCTCTTTTAATGTGTTTAGATATGTTGCCTTTTTCCTTTGCCCTCTGGCTTCTCTTTATTATCAGACACTGTAAACAGGGGCCTGGTTGGCTGCCTCGGCATCGCTTGCTGTTTATAAGCCTCCCACCATATCCTCTTGCTGCTGTTTCCGGACCGAAGCTGTTGGCTGTGGGTGGTTAACGCTTCCATTCAAATGAGCTGTGCCAATTTATAGCCAGCCCAGGCACTGGAGAGATTAAAGAGAATTTTTTATGGGGAAGGTTTGCGCTCTGCCCTTGGAATGACCTTTGAGGAATGTCTTACTCTCTCTGGGAACCACGGGCCGGTTGCAGAGGTGCCGCAGCCAGGACCATTTCAGGCCGGAGCGCTTGGAACAGCTGCCCCCAGGCCCTGGTCTTGCTTTCTTTCCCTTGCTCCCTCAGCTGAAATATCGCCTTCCTCCTCTCTCCTTCCCTCACCCCTACCCAGGCGCGCGGATCAGCTGGAGAGGAGAGCTGCTCCCAGGGGAAGCCATGCCCTACTCTGCAGGTGCCCTCCTGCTAGCAGAGAGCAGCTGTGCCGGGGAGCAGCAGGCAAACGCCGCTCAGCTCTGCTCTTTCCACGGCTGGAGCGCTCCTTGGGGCTTTTGTCACCTCGCCTGCCCCTCTCACCCCCGCCTTCCCCAGAGCTGGCTGTGCTGGCACACGCGTGAGAGCCGGGGGCCGGTGCAAGCGAGGGACAGTCGCAGACAGGGTGGAAACAACTGTCCAGGCACGGCAGGCGTGGCCAGGCTCCCGCCGGGGACGCAGGG